AAAGTTGCATTTTTTTAGTTTCTTTTAGCTATGATCTATTTAGCCATGATCTACATCATGTCCCGGTGGGTTTTTGTTTAACATGGCAAATTACACAACTGGAGTGGACACTAATACTTGCAACAGTCAGAAGGCCTAGTGGGGAAGTCCATCTCATCTACTCAAGAGACTGCCTATTAAATTGTCACATCTCTAGAAGTATTTGAAAATTGTTTAGAAACTTTTCAAAGTCAGCTGTAATCAAAATGCTTATTACAACGCATGTATGGACAAAAATTACACTTCAATCAGCGAACGAAAATAAAGTATTGGATACGTTTGCAATCGTTTCGTTCTGTATTTTATCGAAGTGCAAATCGAACCAAAACCGATATTAAGACAACGGGACTTGTTTCTTATTTTGTACTGTTTGAGTAGATGTGTGGAAACAAAAACAGAACTGCTGGATGACCCAACATTGGAAACGAAACAGTACAATAACTATTGCAAACGTTTGTAAAAAAGTACATAAAAAAAATACTAAGAATAACAACTCTTAATGTATCAGTCATCATCTCGCACAGCAAACGTTTGCAAACGTTTCGCGGTGATTCGTTCGTCAAAGATACAGCTTGGCAACTCACAGCCGAAGTACATTAAGAGAATAGTATTGTTTATGTACTTCTGGCATTGAAATGCTTGTGGTTTTGTTAGGAGTTCAAAACGATTGGAAAAAAAATAAAGTTTGTGTCTTCGTGAGAGGGGAACGTTAATCGTTTCGTTTGTTTTCATTCGCTGGTGGAAATACATTGAAAATTATGATAAAAAAATTTTAAATTTCTCTTAAACTATCTCTTTTTAACGAATTTTGTAAACAATTTACTCATACGTTCTCATAAGCATTCTCTTTTTTTCATACACATGCATTCTCATTTTTTCATCGACTCTGGCCTGAGGTCATAATAAGACCTGGCAACTGTATCCGGGCCGCAATATTGCAATTTGACCTCGTAAACAAGGATATGTATATCGAACAGCGGGCAGCACTGAGTTAATGTACACATGTTTGTAGAAAGAAACGCCGTAGTTCACGTCGCCCGTGAAAACAGAGTCAAGTGGGCAACCTTATATTGTTTACGTTTAAAAATGTACGATCGTCTGTTTTTAGACATTTAAAACTCACACATGTTGGAGCCAGCTACTTGTTTGTTTGCCTTTTCTGTTTAGGGTCATTTGTGTTTGTCATTTATCACATTTTCGTAAACATTGGCTTCTCTTCATTCCTTGCCTTCATTCCGCCATTCTATTCCGCATCTAATATAAAGGAAATTTCGTTTTTTGGCGTTCAGGCATAAAGTTAGTATATGATAAAAGTCTCATAGCGAGAGTCAAATTTATATTTTATTTGAATCATTACGTACGTTAAACATTTAAAAAACTATTTTTTAACTCTATTTTTTCTCCAATGTTGCTATTGGCAGGAAGTCAACAAATAATATTGAACAATATATACAAGGACCAGATGAACATATTGAAGAAACCGTTGATTCTAATAAAATAGTTTGCGGGTCTCTTGCAGGATTTTAGAAACAAAATTACACATTGTAGAATAATACAGGTATCAGCAAGTGTTGTACAACAAACGTAACAACTACATACAAAGTTGTTTTTGTACGTAATACAAGTGTCAGTGTTATATGTGCAAAAATGTAAACAAAACAAATAAGGTTCAAAAAAGGTTCTTAAAATATTTAATTTTAATGCTGTTTTATCATTCCCCAGAATGTATAGCTGTTAGCAGTAGGTTCAAATCTCTCAACATTTCAAGCAATTTCTAGAAAAGCGTGGAAAAATAAACATGCAGTTAAAATTGACACCAAACGGCATATATACATAAAGTACTCTACATTTTACAATTTTAGGAAACATGAAATATACGACTATGGCCGGTTATTACATCTTTCCGACAGATAAATAAGTGATGTTGTCGGACACATAAATCGTTTTTAGATGTTACAAATTTAACAGAATTATGGCAATAACAGCAAAATTTATTTAAATAAAAAAATTGATAACGCAAATCGTTTATTTTATATTGAAGAACTGAATTATAAATTTATTTCGCGAAATTAATTACGAATTCGTTGTGTTTATTTTTTTTTTAAACTTAACTGAAGATGCCATTGCGAAAAAATGCAGTGACTACCAATTACTTTTACAAAAAGCTTTCCATATCTCTGTAAAAAATGCATATATTGTAAATGAAAGATGTAATAATTAGAACCCTATATGTGAACTTTATTCTTCACTTTTCCTAAAGTAAGCGATAACAAAAGTGGACTATAAAGGAAAGATATAAGAACGGGCCTATATTGCCTAATGTGGTGCTTTATGGAAACTTGTGACTTTAAAACACTCTTAAAATACTTTTAAGTAATAAAATTGTTATCTTAATGACAAATACACAATTAAATATACATTTTTAATCTTTTTATTGAAAAAAATTAGCAATTGTTAATGGTTTCTCAATTGACGAAGGCAATTGTTAACAAAGTGTTGTCAAATCATTTTTTTCGTCAAACAAAAATTATTCATCTGTGAAAACCAAACAATGTGGTATTACGAATAATAAACTGAAGCAAAGAGAGAAAAACAAAACAAAGAAATTTTTTTGTACCAAAATGTATCTTAAAATATGTGAAATATGTATTGTGGAATGCTGTTTAATCAATTAATCCTTAATTAATATTTAAGGGTGTTACGGGCCTTGTAAACGAAAAATCCCAAGTCGACAGCAAAAAGAAATTTACGTGGAAGGGCCTTAGAAAGTGGCCTTTTCGCCTACATGGTGGCCACCAACCATGAAAAACCACTAGCTTCCAGTATGCGCTAGAGTTGGGGAAGCCAGCGGTAGCTATAATGAACACTCCCGGATGGGCAGGCCACTGTAATGCCTCTCGTGACCGCCGTGTTCACTAAGTTTTTTTTGTTTTCTTTTATGGGGGAGTAAATAATGGAGACAACTGGGCACTGAAAAGGGGGTAAACATAGTGCCAAGTCTGTTTAGCCATGCCCAGGTGCCGTTTTGCTTGTTTTTTTTTTTTGATTCGTTGGGGTGTAATGGTTTGTCGTTGCACCCTTTATAAAATATGGGTGGACAACTGGATTGTCATGCCATCAATCCATTGCCCACACTGATCGAAAGCCCAACATGTGAAATACAGGAAACAATATTCTCCATCATAGGAAAACCAAATAAACGCTGGGGAATACTTGCTTCTATTGAAAGAATTTAATGTTTCCTGCATCTCATCATGGGGGCCATACCTGCAAGAAAAAAGCTGAAAAGAAAGAAAAAAATATTAATAAAAATTTTAATAATTAAAACTGGAACGATGCCGCTTGGTGTTGGCTGTTGGTGTTTTGCGTGATTTTGACTTCTTCGTAATTTTGACATTTGGGTCATATGGTGAATCTAAGTCTCCAAATTTTAGGAAGTGTTCGGACAAACGAAAGATCCGTGTCGGTAAAACAGAGCGTAAAAAAATTGAATGATACAGTATTATCGGCAAAAGGGGTTGTTTTTAAGAGTGAAAGTTACTCTTAAAAGGTTCGGAGAAAATGGGATTTCAGAATGTTGCAAAGGGTTTGTTGCAGATAAACCTAGAGGGGGACGACTGGTTTTAGGAAAAAAGGGACAAATCTTGAGGGCTAGGAAAATGGCTAGTAATGGAAAGGAACCATTTTTGTTCCCGAACCTATAAAAGGTAGTACTGATGGGAAAAACAGATTAGTTATTTAGTGGTGTTGAGCTAAAAAGCCTTTTTTTTTTAACATATAATCGAAATATATTGACATTTTTATTGGTGAAAAAAATCTTTTGTTTTGTGAAAAGAAAAAAAAAATAAACGTGTAATTGGAAATTAGGTGACTGTGAGGGAGGAGAGAATAAGCCTTAAGTGTCAAAGGTTAATTAAACCGTTTCTTAAATATACTCCGACAAACAAATAAGGTCAGAGTCGGGTACAGACAGCGATATCTTGTGGGCAATATTCACATTAACACCACTGACCGACATTCGTACTTAAAGTGGTAAGTCAACTGTACCCAACGATATAGTGTCACCCGAGTACCATCTATGGGTGGACTGACACATTGAATTAACTCTCCACTCGTCAGTTTAAAGCTCAGCACCCAGAAAATACCCAATATATTTCCAACTTTGATTCTATGCTGTGAAGTCTCCAACCTGTTTTTTTTAACGTCACAGTGTTCCGGGATTACATATAAACCTCTAACTATTTAAGTAATTCCAACCCAACGAATTCTTATTCTGACTAATGTTAAAAGGTTGCGGATGTGACGAAGTATTATTAGACTTCATCAGGATTTGAATGGTCGTAGAGGTGACCCTGGAGTATAAGACACATTAACAATTACAAACACATACAACACATAAACACATCACGAATTTTATTAATTTTTTTTTCGACAACCAATTTTCATATTTTTAAGTTTTTTTTTATTTATTCCTCTATGTGTATTTATTGTTTATTTGAAATTTATTTATGTGATCTACTGTTAGAGTTAGGTATATCAACTTAAATGTTTTATTGAGTTTTTATTTGGACATTATTAGTTTATGTTCCTAGTAGGCAAGTTTTGAAACTATTCGTCGGATCCCCTTTGAGTCCAGGTAGAAAAGAGCTCTTTTTTTTGGTGACGTTAGGGTGGGTCGTATATTCGATAGTATAAAGCTTGTTTATTAGAGTAATTCTGTGTTTTGATCCTTATTGGATATTGTTTAGAGTTCGTCCAAAGGACTAAAGAAAACATTATAGTTATTTTCTAATCTGGTCAAAAGACCGTTCGTATAAAAAAGGTTAAAAAAAAGAGAAATAATTATTACTTTGCTCTATACTCTTTTAACGAGTTATTTTTATTATTAAAGTTTAATTTATATTTTTTTTATAATTTTATCAATACAATTTTTTTGTTAGTTTTTTTATATATTAGTTTTAATATCAATTATAATAAAATGACTTAATGTATGTTTAAAGAAAGAAAAGAATGAGGATGTGTTAAAGAGTTATTAAGGAGGGAATAAAAGGGAGGTAAGTGGTGTGGGATTGTGCGGAAAAAGGGGTCATCAGGACAATAAAAGGAAGAGATGATCAAAGGTAGGGAGGGCGGCTAAATGGCTCGTGTGTCAACAGACGTTATGGATTTGGATGGTATCATGTTCATCATTATAGTGTTGTTCTTTTGTTGGTGAATTCCCATAGTTTATTGTTGTTGTTCCTGAGCCGGATGTTGGGATGGGACTCACCCCAATGGGAGTCGGCAGAGCTGGTCGGCGATATCAAGACATCTCAGGCTGCCTAAGAGGGACACATAACAATATGGCGCCCAAACCAAAGAAACCATAGGGTTTGTAGAAGTTAGGAAGTGTATTCCATCGAGACACTTGGAAATAGACCACTAGAAGTAAAAGAAAATAGACCAACATTACTACTTTGCGTTTGGAACGACGAATTCAAAGGGTTTTTGTAGCCATTCTGGACAGGTGCCAGAACTTGATGTACAAAAACGTTTGGAGCCCGTGTTTTACATGGAAAGTATGTGATGAAAAATACAGACCAAGATAGTTTGTGACCCGCCGATCAGAAGGTTAAGCGGTTTCGCACAAATTATCTTGGATAGATGGCAGAGAATAGTATCCGTTTGAAATTTAAAAGTGACACAGATTCATTAACAGGATATCCGCTCTGGATCTAACCAGAGGACAGATGTATCCGTTTAGATGATCTGGGAAAGCTGTAACGTCTTCGGTGGGAGGCGTTATAGTGCACGTATTAAATTGTTGTTTTTTTATTTTAATTTTGTGTTAATGTTTGATTGATCCATCAGTTCCATAAAGACCATAATAGCCTGCAACCGCACACACCACTCCTCTCCGAAAAAAACCTCCTGTAAAGACAGATAAAAATATTTATAATTAGAATTGTGTTTAAATTGTATTTTTTGCGTTGATAAAAAGTTGTAATGAGTACAGGGACTAGGTCCAAAGTAAAAGCTAAAAAGAGAGATAGACCACTGTTATTTGATTTAAATAGAACTATAGATAATTCAGAAGGAAAGAAAACAAAGGTAGCCAGTGACTCAACAGAAATGTCTGAAGAAACACCTACAGGTGGCAGTAACGTCCATGATTTTTCAGAGACGATAAATAGCCGAACCCCCATCATGAATTCCCTAGGACCTGTGTTCTTGCAAAGTGCCTTAGAGCAAAATAGAAATGTGCAGAATACAGACCAAATAAAGGCTTTAGAGAATTCAGTTCAGTCTGTCCAATCTGAAATGAACGAAATTAAAAAGGCATTAAGCAAATTATCGATTAATATGCAGAAGATCGTTCAAAATACGGTCCAGCCTACACAACCTCTTGCGAATGTGCCAATAGCTCTAAATTCAAACACCAATATAGCTCAAAATGTTTCAGCCCGAAACAACGATATTCCTAATCGTTCTCATAGCAATACCGTTCCAAACAGCGACGCTCCAACAACTTCCAATAATAGTTTACCCCCAATAAGTACGGGTAGACCACTGCCCATTGAACCAACCAAGGGAATGAATATCGTTCGTATAAATAAACTGGGACTAAATTTTGATGGTAGCTCAAATGGTCTGGGTGTAGAAGATTTTGTTTACAGACTTGAGTATTACCAAAAGCAGTATAAAATACCCTGGACTGAGATAATTAGGGATTTCCCACTATTGGTTTCCGGTAGAGCAGAGTCGTGGTATTGGCTCTTTCAAAAGACCCATCAATTTCATGACTGGGAGGAACTAAAGTACAGTCTATTGAGTCAGTATCAATCGTCTCGCTCTAATTTTGAGATTCTCACTGACCTAGCCCAAAGAAAGCAACACGCTAATGAGTCGGTAGATAGCTTCTTTCACACAATGGGTCAAATCAGAACAAAATTGGTTCAACCAATTTCAGAATTTGATATGATCAAGATAATGAAAAAGAATATAAAAGAAAATATCGGGAGAATTGTCTATCCAATACAGGTCACCTCTGTTGAGCAACTCCGAATCGAGTGCAACGAGGCTGAAAAAAACTTCTTGAGGCGAGAAAATAAACCAGCCTTTACAACATCTCGTCCAATTAGGCAAGTTAGTGAACTTCACGAGGAAATGGACTTAGTGACAGAACAATCATACGCAGATGAAGAAATTGAAGTGTCCGCTGTCCAAAATGATAGGCGATTAAAACCGCAGCTGACTTGCTGGAATTGTAGAAAAACTGGACATGGTTTTCGTGAATGTGAAGAGACCACGAGATCCCTTTTTTGCTACAAATGTGGTAATCCTGGAACTACAACACCAAAATGTGGTATTTGTCAGCAGGGAAACTACAAGAAGGGCGTAGAGATGGAAGGGGGCTCGCGTCCGAATTACAACCCCGGAAAGTAATCTCTCCAAACATTAAACTCCAGCACAATAATGAATGTTATAACGCAAAATCCTACGCCCAAAGAAGACATCAAATTCCGCTTGATGAGCGTCGGAAAAATTATGATGAAGTTAGGGATAGAATCTTCGGAGAATTTGATTATCCAAAATACTGTAAAAAAATTCCCAAAGTTCGTCAAAAATTTAGAGATAAAAGAAGAAATTTTAAAATAATTGTCGAAGTCATAAACCGAAGCAGTAATAGAAATGATCCGAGACCTTTTGCAGATGTTGAAATCGAAGGAATCCGATTAAAAGGGTTGCTAGACTCAGGGGCCTCAGTAAGTTTAATGGGAAAAGGCTGTAGGGAAATTATACAAGAATTAGGCAAAGAAGTAGCACCCATATTTTCAAATGTAAAGACTGCGGCTGGAAATCAGCACCGAATAATCGGTAAAGTAAAACTAAAAATCAAATATAACGAGCTTGAAAAGGATATTGAATTATATCTATGCCCTGACTTGGAACGAGAGATATATTTAGGGGTTGATTTTTGGAAATTATTCCACGTTGCCCCTGAGGTAATTAGAGTGGATGAACTGAAGGTAGAACAAATTCAAAATGACATGGTTAACGGGGAGAATTATAAATTAAACCCCCATGAGTTAACACCACAGCAACAGGAAAGACTAGGAAAACTAAAGACGGACCCAGACAAGGTAAAAGCCATTAAAAAGATCGCAGAACCACGTAGCGCAAGAGAAGTTAGAAGCTTCTTAGGGACAGCGGGGTGGTATAGGCGTTTCATTAAAGATTTTGCCATCATCTCCGCTCCACTTACCGATACCCTAAAAAAGAGTAAGAACTTTAAAATCACGGAGGAAGCTAGAAAAGCTTTTGAAGCATTAAAAAAGGCTTTAACATCTGCCCCAGTCCTTCGCCATGCGGATTTTTCAAAACATTTCTACATTCAATGCGATGCTTCGGAATGTGGAATTGGGGCTGTGCTATATCAACTAAATAATAAGGGGGAAGAACACCCCATAGCGTTTTATTCGCAAAAATTAAATTCCTGTCAACGCAATTATAGCGTGACAGAAAAAGAATGTCTAGCGGCAGTGATGGCTATCAAAAAGTTTCGACCATATGTGGAATTGATGCCATTCACTGTAATAACGGACCACGCTTCTTTAAAATGGCTTATGTCCTTAAAGGATTTAACGGGAAGACTAGCTAGGTGGTCATTACAATTGCAGGCATTTAATTTTAATATAGAACACCGGAAAGGAAGCGAGAATGTTGTAGCGGACATGTTGTCGAGGGCTCCAGTTGCCAATGTTAGCGAAATCACGAAAAATGACTACTTAGATTTTGAAACCCTGGAATTCGAGAGTCAAGAATATCTTGATCTCATTAAAACTGTTACCGACAACCAAGAAAAGTTGCCAGATTTAAAAGTAGAAGATGGGTATGTTTTTAAAAAGGTACTACCTAGCTTGGAAGAAAATGAGGAACTCACATGGAGGTTATGGATTCCCTCAAGTATAACCTCGGAAATAATAAAAAAGCCCATAATTCTATGACGTCTGCACATGGCGGGATAATAAAGACCCTTGAACGTATAAGACGATTCTTCTATTGGCCTCGAATGACCGTTCAAGTGCGTGAATACGTAAGGAACTGTCAGGTTTGTAAGGAAACCAAAGCTAGCAATCAGCATATGATGCCCAGTATAGGAAAGGAGGTAGTAACTGATAGGCCGTTCCAAAAGCTGTATATAGATTTTTTAGGAAAATACCCAAGATCGAAAAAAGGTAATGCATACATTTTCATCGTTGTGGATCACTTCACTAAATTCACCTTTCTCAAAGCAATGAGGGAGGCAACCGTCGGCAACGTGATAAAATTCCGTGTCGATGAAATTTTTTATAAATTTGGTGTCCCCGAAGTGATCCACAGCGATAATGGTGCGCAGTTTACCTCCAAAATGTTCAAAGAGCTGATGGAAACTTATCAAATAAATCATATGAAAACAGCCATATATTCGCCACAGTCCAACGCATCGGAACGTGTGAACCAGTCGGTAATTTGTGCCATTCGGGCATATCTCGATAAAGATCATAGAGACTGGGATATGTATTTATCCGAAATAGAATGTGCATTGAGAAATTCTATACACACTTCGACTGGGGTTACGCCGTTCTTTGCGTTGTTTGGCTTTCATATGTACTCAAATGGACAGGATTATAGCTTGGCAAGGAAATTGAAATCCTTAACCGACCATGAGCTCAGTAATATGGATAGATCAAGTAAGCTAGAACTCATAAGAGCCAATATAAAAGAAAATTTACATCGAGTTTACATAAAAAGTTCTGAAAAATATAATAAACGTGCAAGGGTGTGTAAATTTCGACCTGGACAAGAAGTCTACCGGCGAAATACCGTCTTATCCGACTTTTCGAAAAATATTAATTCAAAATTCTGCAAAAAATTTGTTAAAGCCCGAATTGTCAAGCCCGTTGGACAAAACATGTATGAACTCGAGGATATGCAAGGAAAATCCATTGGTATTTACCATGTCAAAGACATAAAGAATTAGTGCTATATAGATTTAAATTCCGTGATAGACAAGTGCATTATTAGAATTAGGTTGACTTAATTACATGTTGTGCTTGTCCCATTCATATATTTACCTCTATAGTGCAATATACATTACGTCTGTGATATAACCAAATGTACCTGATTTTCATATAGAAGTGATTATTTAATGATTTATACCCTACCTCGTAATTATGCATCTACGCCCGAACTATACCTCCAATAAGATTCTACAACCTATAATCATAGCACCTCACTATTAATACCCTATTTGGTAATTAGATATCAATATTTTGACTTACGTAATCTTCCGACTTATTCGCGCATGGGTGACCAGATTTCTGTTCCAATTTTTTTTACCCAGTCGACTGACCTGTAAATACACACCAAGTAAGGACTTATGTGATAGACAAAAAAAAAATATACTTCCCTAAATTAAAAGTAAACTCAGAGCCCGGCTTAATCTCAGGGTGTGAGAGTTCCCCACATTGGGCTTGATCCCGGACGTCACATAGTTCGATACAGCCCGCACACCAGTCCTGCCTTCGGGCCTTGTCAGCCCTGGAGTTTTGTTGCGGGCCTTGTAAACGAAAAATCCCAAGTCGACAGCAAAAAGAAATTTACGTGGAAGGGCCTTAGAAAGTGGCCTTTTCGCCTACATGGTGGCCACCAACCATGAAAAACCACTAGCTTCCAGTATGCGCTAGAGTTGGGGAAGCCAGCGGTAGCTATAATGAACACTCCCGGATGGGCAGGCCACTGTAATGCCTCTCGTGACCGCCGTGTTCACTAAGTTTTTTTTGTTTTCTTTTATGGGGGAGTAAATAATGGAGACAACTGGGCACTGAAAAGGGGGTAAACATAGTGCCAAGTCTGTTTAGCCATGCCCAGGTGCCGTTTTGCTTGTTTTTTTTTTTTTTGATTCGTTGGGGTGTAATGGTTTGTCGTTGCACCCTTTATAAAATATGGATGGACAACTGGATTGTCATGCCATCAATCCATTGCCCACACTGATCGAAAGCCCAACATGTGAAATACAGGAAACAATATTCTCCATCATAGGAAAACCAAATAAACGCTGGGGAATACTTGCTTCTATTGAAAGAATTTAATGTTTCCTGCATCTCATCATGGGGGCCATACCTGCAAGAAAAAAGCTGAAAAGAAAGAAAAAAATATTAATAAAAATTTTAATAATTAAAACTGGAACGATGCCGCTTGGTGTTGGCTGTTGGTGTTTTGCGTGATTTTGACTTCTTCGTAATTTTGACATTTGGGTCATATGGTGAATCTAAGTCTCCAAATTTTAGGAAGTGTTCGGACAAACGAAAGATCCGTGTCGGTAAAACAGAGCGTAAAAAAATTGAATGATACAGTATTATCGGCAAAAGGGGTTGTTTTTAAGAGTGAAAGTTACTCTTAAAAGGTTCGGAGAAAATGGGATTTCAGAATGTTGCAAAGGGTTTGTTGCAGATAAACCTAGAGGGGGACGACTGGTTTTAGGAAAAAAGGGACAAATCTTGAGGGCTAGGAAAATGGCTAGTAATGGAAAGGAACCATTTTTGTTCCCGAACCTATAAAAGGTAGTACTGATGGGAAAAACAGATTAGTTATTTAGTGGTGTTGAGCTAAAAAGCCTTTTTTTTAACATATAATCGAAATATATTGACATTTTTATTGGTGAAAAAAATCTTTTGTTTTGTGAAAAGAAAAAAAAAAATAAACGTGTAATTGGAAATTAGGTGACTGTGAGGGAGGAGAGAATAAGCCTTAAGTGTCAAAGGTTAATTAAACCGTTTCTTAAATATACTCCGACAAACAAATAAGGTCAGAGTCGGGTACAGACAGCGATATCTTGTGGGCAATATTCACATTAACACCACTGACCGACATTCGTACTTAAAGTGGTAAGTCAACTGTACCCAACGATATAGTGTCACCCGAGTACCATCTATGGGTGGACTGACACATTGAATTAACTCTCCACTCGTCAGTTTAAAGCTCAGCACCCAGAAAATACCCAATATATTTCCAACTTTGATTCTATGCTGTGAAGTCTCCAACCTGTTTTTTTTAACGTCACAGTGTTCCGGGATTACATATAAACCTCTAACTATTTAAGTAATTCCAACCCAACGAATTCTTATTCTGACTAATGTTAAAAGGTTGCGGATGTGACGAAGTATTATTAGACTTCATCAGGATTTGAATGGTCGTAGAGGTGACCCTGGAGTATAAGACACATTAACAATTACAAACACATACAACACATAAACACATCACGAATTTTATTAATTTTTTTTTCGACAACCAATTTTCATATTTTTAAGTTTTTTTTTATTTATTCCTCTATGTGTATTTATTGTTTATTTGAAATTTATTTATGTGATCTACTGTTAGAGTTAGGTATATCAACTTAAATGTTTTATTGAGTTTTTATTTGGACATTATTAGTTTATGTTCCTAGTAGGCAAGTTTTGAAACTATTCGTCGGATCCCCTTTGAGTCCAGGTAGAAAAGAGCTCTTTTTTTTTGGTGACGTTAGGGTGGGTCGTATATTCGATAGTATAAAGCTTGTTTATTAGAGTAATTCTGTGTTTTGATCCTTATTGGATATTGTTTAGAGTTCGTCCAAAGGACTAAAGAAAACATTATAGTTATTTTCTAATCTGGTCAAAAGACCGTTCGTATAAAAAAGGTTAAAAAAAAGAGAAATAATTATTACTTTGCTCTATACTCTTTTAACGAGTTATTTTTATTATTAAAGTTTAATTTATATTTTTTTTATAATTTTATCAATACAATTTTTTTGTTAGTTTTTTTATATATTAGTTTTAATATCAATTATAATAAAATGACTTAATGTATGTTTAAAGAAAGAAAAGAATGAGGATGTGTTAAAGAGTTATTAAGGAGGGAATAAAAGGGAGGTAAGTGGTGTGGGATTGTGCGGAAAAAGGGGTCATCAGAACAATAAAAGGAAGAGATGATCAAAGGTAGGGAGGGCGGCTAAATGGCTCGTGTGTCAACAGACGTTATGGATTTGGATGGTATCATGTTCATCATTATAGTGTTGTTCTTTTGTTGGTGAATTCCCATAGTTTATTGTTGTTGTTCCTGAGCCGGATGTTGGGATGGGACTCACCCCAATGGGAGTCGGCAGAGCTGGTCGGCGATATCAAGACATCTCAGGCTGCCTAAGAGGGACACATAACAAGGGGTAGGCGCAGGAATTCGGTCTGAAGCATCTCTTAAATTCCTCCGACGTATTTTTTTTCAGTATTGTGTTTATTACTTTGAGCCTAAATTACAGAAACAATCAAAACTCCCGGCATTGCGTAAAAAATAATAAAACAAACTTTCTTTTTGCATTAAAAACTCTCATTAAAAAATTCAACTCTGTGCTTCGGAAAAAAACAAAGGAGCCTATGACCAAAATCGCTGCGAAAAAAGACCAAAGGAGCCTATGGCCTAAGTCGAACTAAGTCAACCTACAACTCCTTTGTTCCTCTACAAAGGAGCCAGCCGATGACTTATGCCAGTCAAAGAAGATCTTTATGTACTTCCACATCTATCGTGTCAAATAGACTTTTAAGTATGCAACAGTTGGTTTTCGTTTTTTGACAAAATTCTTATATTGGGGAAAACCCGCGAAACAAGAATGGAATTTTGAGGTTATTCTACAATATTGAATCTAAAATAGTAGGACAATACAGTTTTATCCCAAAATTCTACAATATGTTGCCCATTAATATAGAAAATATGAATATATTTTGCAACCGAATTTGAAATATTTTCAAATTGTTGTGTTTTTTGTTCCAAACAATACACAAACATACACAAAATGTATGTAATGCACATTTTGAATTTGAATGATAAGAAATGAATATTTTTGAAATATAAGTAATTTATTATAAATGTTTTTCTGACACTAGTATTACTTACAAAAACAAATGCGTATGTTCTGTTACCTGTATTATTCTACCACGTGTAAGAATGTAGCAGCGCTCTTATAGGGATTTCTAGATCGTTGTTCGCCTTTCATTTTTGACGGCGTAACTTATTTGGACAGACAACGAACAGCATACAATTTTGTTTTCAGTTTTAATTTTATCGGTGCTTGTCGCGGTCGGAGGTTTATGAGTTCGCGCTTTGTTTTCATGCGATTTATGTATGTGTACGTTGGGTACACGGTGTGAAAAGTGTGTCCATGTATCGGCGTTTTTTAACAACCAGAAGAAGATTTATGCATACATCCAACCGGAAGGAAGTTTAATGTAATTTGATATAGAATTTGTAGCGATGAGTGTCTCGAAAAAAACAAAAGAGTATTTAATAAATATTAAAAAGAAAACCAGATGTATAGATAAATACATAAGATTAAAGCTAAGAAGAGAAAAATGAATCAAGAGTACGTGACTGAAAATCAAAGCTATGCAAAAATATGTGCTTGTGTGTATGATTTATACCCCACGAAGGTGAACTAAAACAATGAATTACGCAAAAATTACAAAAATGGATTGAGAATTGGATACATTCACAACGGAATAACAAAATCGGCTGCAAGCGTTCCCAATTCATTAAAGTCGCGACTCGCATTTCCCAAGGAGGAATCCATAATTTTTACTCTCCTACGCGTAATTTGCTGGCATTGTTATGCATTTCCTGCGATTTCATTCATTTTATGACCCATTCCGTTTTCCGTCTCGTCCGCCAGCCGGGCCCCAGACCGTTCCACCAATAGATAATTTACAAAATGTTAATTTGTCAGGTCAATGCATTCAAATTTCGACAGAGACTACCAAACGGCACTTTATAAATATTTGGCTCTGGTAAACAATAAACTAGGTGCTATGACAGCATAGAGAGGGAGCGACAAGCAAACGTTTAGCCTTCATCTGAAAAAAAAACGATCTGTAAGCTAAAAAATATTTTTTTAAAGCACAACAAACACACATCCAAACACCAGAGACTATCATTTTATTAATAGTGCCGTGCCGCGGTGTGTACAAAATGTCTTTATGAATGAATTCCCCCCTCCCTTTCTCCGCCCACTACACCCTTCCATCCGAAATACAAAAAACATGTGTCACACGAAAAAATTCATTGAGCAAAATACGAATTCGAAACAGCTCGTCTCGTCCGAATGAAAGAAAACCTATGAGTGAGAGGGGGAAACAGCGTCGGATATACCCACAAGTTCGTTTGCGTGTATACCAAATCATCAAGGTTGTTTGTTGTTGGTTTTGGCATCCAATATCGAATGGCTTGAAACAGAACAGGAAGGAGAAACAGGATGTGTGCGATATTAGTTTTTCTGCTGTTAAAGGCTCTGTTTTTTGCTCACCTGCCAATGAATTTGGTTTTCTACTGTGTGTTATATCTCTATCATTTGGATTTCTCCCTCCTCTTTTCATAAATATAAAAGTGTAACAAAGTGTAGTGACATATACAAATATATTCGCTGTGTAAAAGTCAAACAAAAAGAAGTGGTGCAATTGATGAGATCCTTTGCCGATATTTGAATGCATTGATTGTTAATTGTGGCACAACATATTTTGTTTTTTTTTTTTTTTTTCAGTGCAAAATGAATAAAAAATTCAAAGAAAAAAGAGTAGTAGAAAACAGTGCAACACGACAACCCTGTTAAATACCTTTGCATACAGCTCACAAAAACATTGAAACGAACTGACAAGGAACATTGAAACGAAACAAAATATGCACCTGAAAAAGAAACACCCCATTAGTTATGGATCCAATATGGCCGATAATACACGGGAAGTACGAATTGAGGAGCAATTAAAAGTTAAGATTGGTACGTAAATAAAAGGCAAACAATTGGTAAAATTCGATGAAAGTAACGCGAGTGCAATGCTATTGTGACGAAAAATGTAACAGAAAAGAGCAATTTCCACGAGGAAACGCTGAAATAAATGTGGCAAAATGTGTTGGCGTTGATGGCCAAGAAGCGCGTCCACTTTGTGTTCCCTAGAAAATGGGATGTGAAACATGGTTCGGTGAACAAATGTTTTTCTGTAGATATCGGTAATAGGCAGCAAATGCCGAGTGATTTAAGTGGACGCAATGTACCGACGAAATGAAATAAAATTGGATGATTTAATGAAAACGTGCTGGAATCTTTAATTGAGAAATCAATCAACATAAAATTGTGCAAAAGAATGTTTGGTGTGTTTTATTTTCCTGAGCGAGCGAGCGATTGGTTGTTGCGTGAGTGTGCTTGCATGTTGCAGAACATAGTTGTCCCACTCACACCTGTGCCCTAAAGCACCTTTGTTTATATCGTTTGGTTCGCTTTGTTGTTGGGCGCGGAACGTTCTGAGCATGAAACAACGAATTCCCATACAAATGCAACGATGTGATGTTTTGTTGTCGTTCTCATCTTCCTCTTGTGTTTTCTTTTGTATATGTTTTTTGTTTGATTTCGTCTCTCCCGTTGCGGATGTGGATGTGTTGTCGACAAAACTGAAATTTCCCTTTTCATGCAGTTCAGTTCTCTGTTGTTCTCGTTATGAATGAAATTTTTATTCGATTTTGTTTCGTTGTTGTCGGTCGGGTTATTTGACTCGATTCAAGCAAGTCGTCAGTCTGTATTGGTTACCTTTCCTGTTGTTTCGTCAGAATGTGCGCCTGTAGTGGTTGTTGTTGTTTTGTAAAACAAAATCATGAATGAAATCCCAGCGAGAAGATAAATCAAAAACACACACAAATTGTGTGCTGGCCCATATATTTGTGAATATTTTGGAAATTTGCAATGCATTCAATTCGAGAAGGTTTGCCAATTTGAGTTATACTGGACACTGATGGGATACGCGTTTTGTAAATACTATCCAATTTTAACAGATTTTAAGCATTTGAATAGTTCAGTCCAAGCATAATAGACTTGTTCTTTTGTGTGGTCGTACTGCAGGAATGTTTCCTGCCGATTATCTGATTCCTATTAAGTCAAAACTTCCATCGTTTTAGTATGTCGTATAAGTAAAAACTAGCTGATTTTCCGAAATTTTTCCTTTTTGACCTAAAGAACTGTTTATTTTGCTAAAATTCCCGAGCCTGAAGTAACTAACCAGGGTCAAAATATCTTCTTCTAAAAAACAATCCGAAAATGTGAATGTTGTCGCTAAAAAGATGGGCCATTTATTTAAATGTATCTTGCGTACCTATACTGCGATTACAAGCGTGCCCGTGAATATGAATTAGGTCCGACTTTTTTAATCGAGCTTTAAAAAGCTTAAACTCTTAGAAGGAAATTTTTAGCTATAAATCGTATTTTAGTAAAGAATCAATAAAAGATATATCGTAAGGATGTTGGCCCCTCTTTTAGTAATAAATATGGTAAAATATGGAGGATATAGAGGTTCGTATGAATTTTGAACTTTTGTTCCTTACTTAATTTGACCTTTCGTGAAGGATGTATCACAATAAGATCGATATATTCTATATTTACTATAGATCTAGTTGGTACAAAAATATTAGAGTGTACAACGTTTGTAGTAAATCGGGGAGCGATTCGCACAAAAACACAATGTTTCTTCTTGTAAGAATATTGACACCATGTTTTCTTTGAATTCAAACCATTTTGATGAAGCAAGCACTTGTCTGTACAGCCAAGTAGTAGTTGTAATACCTACATTTAAAGCAATTCTTGTAATACATCATCCGGTTGTTATTATGAAAACACTTTTTTTCTTTCATTCCATATATTGCGATACGATCTATTGTCCATTTGTCTCTTAGCGTTCAAACAGGAAAATGACAATTTACGCACAAGAATTTATTCTTAGGAAAATGTTTTGGAGTTTTGTTTTTGTTTCCCGCTTTCAGAATACCAAGATAATGTTGTGCTTACATCTGTAGTGAAAAATGTGTATTCATGTGATTCTTGTCTGCACACTAGAGTGGTTTAATCCGGATATGAAGTAATAGTAGGTTGTACGAGTTGCGACATTTGAAATATTTTTTCTTCTCGTAAATTAAATGTAAGGGAGCAGGTACTACAATCCAGTTGTTCGAGTTTCGAAAACGTAATGCCACGAAATATATCAAGTCCACCCAAACATGCACGCACAGTTTCGGTGGCGATCGAAAAATTGTTAGGGGCTGAAATGGAGCAAAAAGGTATTTAAAATCTGATCATGCATGCATGACAATATTGTTCAGCACTTGCAATTGATCGCAAGATTCAGAAACACGTTTCTGTGTGGTGGAGATTAAATTAAAATAGAGAAATACATATGTGTGCTAGGACTTCTATCTGATATACAATTCTCAAGTTGAGGTTCCTGGCAATTACTACATTTCATCATGCTACAGCAAGATCCAGTGATGCATATTTTTGTAGAAATATATAAAATGTTAATTGTTTTTTACTATAAATGAATAAATTATTATTATAAATCAGTACGATCTAAGTTTGATAGAAATGTGCGCAAACTTTCAGCAATAAGCATTCTCTTAGCCCTCATTCCATCGAAAGAGGCAGTTAAAATGATAGAAATGCCGTATATGAGATTAAAATTAGGTTATACGGACTTAAAATATATCTAAGTAAAATTTTATTATCTTACATCATTTCGTTCGGAAGCTAGAGAGCTTTCCAGAGACGGCCAGACCGGTAGGGAGCCGGACGGACGGATCATGAATATATATATATTTGTTGGATAGGTATTTTATTTTTTTTTTTTCAAACGATACCTATTATGTTTATATCGGGTAAATAGATCCGGGTCTTGAACTCTGACTATCTGGGGTCTACCTCTAAATTCGAAAAAATGAAGATTTTTACTAAACTAGAGTTGTTCCAAGGAACGACAATCAAGCGTTGCATGATACCCAATAGGTCTGAGGCAGTCAGTTCTTAAGAGCTTTCTCGGACGCAAAAATATAATTGAAAATCCTTAAATCTGCAGTTTCTAAGAAACTAGGTGTAATCTTTAAAATGTTATTGACATAGAGGTAGTTAGGATATAACATAATTCTACGAATTAAGCGCTGTGTTATTCACGTCCGCTAACGTGTTAAGGGCACTGTGTACGCTTGGACGTTGTGTAACCGTTTGGTTACTATCTTAAGAATTCATTGCACCAAATATTCAAGATTCAAATAAATTAAGTAATAATCAAATTATATCTTTGAGATGGAATCTTATCTGTCCCAAAAAAGACAAAATATATTTTTATAAGAAAATTCTCATTAATCGTTTTATATTGCCCAAACAGTTTACGTCATTACATTTTCAAAAATAAATTAAATCTACTGACGTCGCTTCTTCTCTCTGTCGCATACATTTCCCTTTTTAAAAACAATGCTTCGATATTTGCATTTAATATACCTACATAGTTATTTACACACGGTTTCATTTCGGTCATGTCTTGACAAAAAGATACAGTGAAAATATGTGCTACCCATCTTTCTCCAGAAAAATACCGTGAAAGATGTAATTCTTAATAAAAAAAGTAAAATCTGAGTTTGAGCCATGCTAAAGCTAATTTTACTTTATCGTGCGAACTTTCATAACGGTGGGGTTAAAGATGGAAACATTATCACCCACAGGCTGCGCCGAACAAATACATGCGAACATAAATAAGTTACATTATTCGGTTGCCGTAATAGTAATGCTACTACTTTTACTTTTGAAACAAAAAAAAAATTCAACAACATTATCGGAAATTGAAGAAATTTTGTTCGTTGTTACTGAGCAGAATGAATGTTGCTGGGAAAATGTATTTTCGCATAATTTAGATGAAAATAACATAATTGAACAATGATGTGCATAAATTTTTTAAAAATAAACAAACGGAAATTGTTATTCTTTTATTTTTCAAGATAACAATGTCTGAGAGACTTTCTTTTTGATTGTTTTACTTTAATTGTCTCAGTGGAAAAAACAGATGTGGAAATTTGCATGCCTTTTCACTGTTTTTATCCGAAAGAAAACTACGAGGATTGTAGACTATCACACGTAGTAGACATAAATACTCTCGAAATTGCGATTTGTTCCAATTTTCTACCCTCGGATGAATACGGAGACATTTTACAACATGATTGCCTATGGTCAGAAGATTTTGAATATTGAAATTATCGCAGAACAACCCTTCATTGGTTACTGGTGCAAACATTAAAATGCGAGGTCATATTTGTAAATGCTGGCTGAAGTGGATAGCTGCAGATATATGTAGCTGCGTAATATATGTACGTATGTAATCATCAACCGTCTTGAGTGTATTTTGCATATCTGTGTTCTTTTCTTCTTTCTGTCCGCATTTGCATATGTACATAATTTACTGTCGCGAAGAGATTGTGTGGATGTGTGCATATATGTGTAGGTTTCTGCATTTGGCTATGTAACAAAATAATCAGTGTTTCCGCTTTGTGCAGTAGACTCACAACTTGGGTGAAATCGAAATCAAGCCAACAGAATTTCCATCAGAATAACAAAAACTCCGGATGTGCAAAGAATCAAAAGCCATTGTTTTTGTTTTCATTTTTTTACCTTAAATCACCCTAAGCTGCTCATGTCGCATGCAATGTCGCGTTCTACAGATGGAAGACGATTTTAAAATCATTCTTAGTGTGTTTTGATGGTGAAGGTGATATGATGCAATAACATGAATTCGCCAATGAATCTGACTACCCAGCAAACTAAGCGAAAGAATTTATTGGAAAATTAAAGTTGTGTGGAAATTCAAGCATATTTTCCAACTTTTTACCGATTTTTTTCCCATTTCCAAAGTATGTCGTGCAGTACTCGGATATATTAATTTGTGTTACACATTCACTTTCTTCATGAAGCTATTG